GTACCAGTGCGGCAGAGGTTTTAAACAGTTTGTAACTTTTTAGTATGGTGAATACGTTATTAGTAAATTGAGAAAATTGAAGCGACGTATAATAACAAAATAGAAAGGTTAAATTTAAGAAGCATATTAGATAAGTTTGTTTAAATCCAAGTCCTTCCTTATAATAATTACTTTAGAGTATTTATTTTTAAGTACGTGTATTTTACTATGCTTCACCCATACATACTCATACTGTTTGTCCTTGGCAGTTGATTTAACCTTACTTAGGAGTTTCTTGTATTCAATGCTAAGGTGATCATTGACATACACACGCTGAGATGAACCTTGAAAGCCAATATCCGAAGTGGATAGATCCTTATTGGCACGCGCCGCCGCAACAAAATCCTCTTTCACGTATCGATTTAAAAAGCTTATAATAATTAACTTTTCGTTTGAATTAAATATCGGAACTCTTGAGATGTAATTCACCTGGGATTTTGGACAGTTGTAGTTAATCCTTTCTCCTATTGCTTCGAAGATAGAAAATAGATTTTCATCCTTCTTTACTGGAACCCCCTTAATCTCAACGTTGTTCAATCTGGAACGTTGTTCGTTGCTTGACTGTAAAAACTTGGTGCTCGACAAATCCGTTTGCAAACGGTTTACTGTTTCATGGAGATTATCGAATTTTGAAACCTTTTCTTCCACTTCCGTGAGTCTTGTTTCAAATTCATCCAGTCTCCCACCAGAGCGTTCACAGGATATTTTGAGTCCCGCCAACTCATCCCTTATGGCTCGGATGTCGTCTACCAGTGCTGGTAAGTTAAGCAACTGGCGTTTCATATCACGTATCTCACCGAGTATGGTATCCAGAGATGTAGGTTCAGGGGTGGATACAGCTGGCGATGAGCTTCTGCACATGGGACATTTCCATTGGGCCATTCTAGCAGAACCCAATTTCCTCCACCCAGATTCAGAAATGTTTGCACACCCAAAGTCCAGGTGTTTCTTGCAACTACCGCATTGAACGCCATCATGAAACTGCACATTGCAGGCTGCACAGGTTTTCATTTTCGAATTATTTTACTAGTAGTTAAACAAAAACGTAAAAAGGTTGGTGATCTATTTATTTAGAGTGGCGTGTACTGTGCTTATGAATGACCACAGACGAACCGATATCTAGTTGTTATTGTTGATCGAAGCTAAAAAATCTTAGTTATCTCAATTTACTTACGTTTCATCGGCTCCCCGTTTGGATTAGAGTTCAACCAGAACCCTTAATTATGAGCTGCGTACAGAGAGATTCGAGGGAAACCACATGCACATCCACATGGTTCGGCAAATGCAAATAATGTATACTTACAACGTTATCTTCGCTCTCTTTTACTCGTTTCTCGATGGCGGCCTGTTGTTCCAATAGTTTGAACAAGGTCGGCGCGTCAGGATCGTTTAGTTGCCGTAACACTGCTTCCAAACTCGGGAATGCGGAGTCACTGGAAATAGACGGAAGTTATTGTTATTTCTTTGAGTAATAACGATAAAGTTTGTATTACAACTAAATGAAATAATGTTTGTTGTAAATATTATACTGTTTTATTTGGTGAAAGCTCGACTGATTCCGAGCCATATCGAAGCGTTAGATAAATGTTGAAGTGGTACGTACGTGGCACAGGGCGGTGCATGTGGTAGAGGCCTGCAGGCGGGCAGGGTGGCGGGGCGTGCCTCCCTCATGTCGACGGGCCGCGCGCACGCCGCGCCCACGCCCCGCCCGGCGCAGCGGGCCGCGCCGCGCGCGCTCAGCGACCACGCGTAGCGACCCCAGCCGCAGCGGATTATTACTGTACACACATTACACGAATAGATAATATTGGGCTACAAAAGATTTTGGAAACCTCTATTTTTAGCTATTATGGGACAAAGAGCAAACGACCAAACGGATCACTTGATAATAAGCAATCAGTTCGGTCGGTAAGCATTAGCATCCGCAATCCAATCAATCATCCGCGTTGCTCCCGCAGCACTAGAGAAGTTGCAAATGCATTGCCGACTTCAGAACGGCGGCTTTGAGGGGGACTATAAATACTAAAATCATTGTAACTGACCAATAAGCGTAGGCTGTGGCTCCTGGCTGTTACTGAGCGGTTCCTCCAGCAGAGACAGCAGTATGTTCCCGTCGGCCACGAAGTGTCGCAGGCGGCCGTGTCCCAGCGCCGACAGCCAGCGCTCGTCCAGCCGACACCATGAGGAGCCATTGCCACCGTTACCTATTTGCTACAGTATAAAAAAGAAATTGAAATTCAAAAGACCTCATACAAACATGTTTGTAATGTTAAAACCGAATTACTCTCTAAGTCCAAAAAGCAGGCAACTGAACGTACCTGTTCTAAAATCAACATGAGCAGAGATTCTGCAGCATCTCGTACTCGCATGGAAACTGGCTTCAGTTCTTTCTCGTCCTTCATTTTCGGAGGCTCCCCGGGTTTTCCTGAAATGAATACTTTACCTTAGAATCGATTGAAGACAATCGCCACGTTAACGTCATTTGAAGATCAAAATGTGTTGTTAAGTTGTATATAAATAAAAAATAGACCAAAAATGTCTTCGGTAGACTACTACAAACTAGCTGAAAGGGGCATGTTGGTAGAATGAACAAAGACCGCTAGCCAAAGATATCGACTCTGTGTGTCGTTGGATATGTTCATTCCAAGCTCAAAATAATTTTAGTGAGCGCAAGATAACAATATAAAGGACTTGGCCTTGGCGAGTGCCAATTATCTTAAAAAAAGTTCATGAGCTAGTTACCTTGGCTCTTACTCCCAGAAATACCAAGCTCGACGACCTCCAAGAGAGTGGCGATGCAGTCCTGGTCAGCTAGCAGGGCGGGACAGAGCCAGGCGGCGAGGCAGGAGTAGGCGGCCACGACGCAGGAGTGCAGGTCGCGCGAGTGAGCCTGCGGGGGCCGGCTGCACTGCACCGTGATGTAGTCGCAGATCCAGCGCACGGCGCGCTTGCGCTCTATCGCTTCTGTACAACGTGGGCCGGTGTTAATGTTATGGTGAACTTACTGTAGTCTATTAAAGCTATAAAACTATTTTAATTTTTACGATAAAAAACTAATTTTTTTTTACCGATATACGTATGTATGTATCGTACGTAGAAAGTATATGCACTACAAAATTCTGGACATATTTCAATTAAAGCTATGTTCAATTAAATATCAAACGACGACTTAGCAATTGTGTGATAACATGTTGTAAAGTTAAGCATATCACAGTTTATAAGCTCATAAAGTTTTTCTATGAAGCAATAACTTACCGATTACAAATTCTAGGTAGCATGCGAAATACAACATAAATCGTTAATGACGTTTTCACAACAAACTTCCTCCTGCGATTTCAATTTCCTATCGAATAACATCCCTTAACGAAGTATTTATTCAGATGCAAACAACAAAACAGACAAACATTCAAATAATTTTAAGATACTTCAATAAATAATTATTATTACATAAACCAAGACACAATGTAAATATCTAAATTGTGCAACTGACCTGGTTTCGAAGAATGCAGCTTGGCTAGGCCCGAGAGTAGTTCTAGGGCTGCCAAGGAGACTTGCAGGTCTCCCTTCCAGGAGGAGATGAGGCGGTGACACACCAGGTACGTAGCGCGCACCACCAGCGCCGCACCTAGTGGCACTCATACGTGATAACTTTGGATACAGAATTACTGATACTTTAAAAGTTTTCCTACTTTAAAATACTTTATTTTTCAGACATTGATCCATAAGATGATTTTCTCATATGCCAAACAAACATACAAATTCACATGCAAGATACACCCAGAGCCGAAACAATAATTTATAGATCAAACAAAGAATTGTTCAGTGCGGGCTTCGAACTCGCGACAAGTTGTACAGCAGCTGATTGCCCAGCCACTGCGGCAACCCTACAACATTCATTTTAAATTGAAATCAAAACGATAGGAAAATTGTATTAGCTTCAGAAATACATATTTGGAGAACTCATTAACACAGTCAATCTGAAATAATATCACAGAACAATATTCACTGAAATAGTTACTGTAAGTAAAATTAAAATGACTATTGACATTAATAAAACAAAGTACATAATATATTGAAATGAAATGCACTGTGAAATTACAAAACAATAACTAAAATTGATAATTAAGGCAAGCAAAACTGTAAGACAAAAATGAAGCGGTTGATAAGTACATTGTAAACTTTCAAAGTTAGGGATGATCACTTTTCGCCAGATGATATGACTTCAACTTATTGTTATTGTAGACTTTATCAAGAAGTATTTACGATTAAAAGTTGTTTGAAAGATATTAACTAGATAAATCTTGTCAAGCGAAAAGGTGACTTATGCACATAAAAGTTTACAATGTACTACAAAGGAGCAATGTATTGATATTCCCGATCTAAAATTGATCTACTAGCATTTCATCCATTGGTATGTTTTGTTTATGTTTGTTTTTATTTAAATTTGATATTTATCTAATTATAAATGTCAATATATTGCCCCTTAAGAATGCAAACAAAAAACGTGTGTAATTACCGAAAACAGGCGAGGATGGGTCTAGCTCCCTAACGTCAGCTGCGAAGTCGTCGAGCGAGTGACCTTCCGCGCTGCCCGAGCCACTGCCGCAGTCTGACCGCGCTACAACACCCACACATACATCCCCACCACTGCACGTACCTTGCTCACTAATCACCACCCATACACATTATATGGGGGATACATAGCCTCAAAATAAATCTCGAAAATGTAACATCTCTTACAACCCAGGAATCGAACCTGCAATTGTTTGTAGCTGCGCCTACGCAGCGAGTTGTTGCGAGAATGAAGGGTTTTTTTCCGTATCGTGACTATCGTATTCAGCATTTTTGTTTTTAAAATCATTTAAATATGCGCCGTGTGTCAATGGTAAACCATTGACATATCGGCTAGAGTTGATATGTTGGCTAGCAAAAAAAAATGTAGCGTGTATGTGTGTGCGTTATTGTGATAATATTATTACATGTGTGTGTGACTGGATAGCAGTGGTTTAGCTGGACACTTCACGAAGCTATGAAACTGGTGATAATTTGTTGATATGGTGTAAAATTAGAATTACTTTATAAACTTGATGTTTTGTTACAAAGTGATAAGTACTCGAAACTACTGGCTTTGACTTTACTTATTAATTACAATTATGTTATGATTTTTACTCAAAACTGTGTGATAAGATGTTTCAATGTTACATGGGACACTATACCGGGATCTACTGATCTATGGTACACCATTGATTATGAAGTTACGAATGAATAGGCACTAATTAATTTATTATACAGTTCATGAGCAATTCAATATTTCAGGTCAAATAATAAAAGGTTTTTTTACATAGAATGTGAGTCAACACTGTTGCGCAAACTAAAAAATGCGCAAACGTACAAGTAACTGTATGCCCAATCTAAAAATCAAGTTTGTGCAATGACTGAGGATGTCCATCGATCCTCCTATCCAGAAACACAAATTGTTGCTCAAAGGAAACAGTTGCGCAACTATGGAAATTAACCAATATAAGGTTTAGAAATGAGCCTGTGATAAAAGAACAATATTACAAAAAAATAAGTAGATCTCGGTATCAATGCCAGACTTAATAAGACGAATGTAGATAATTTATAACAGTGGATTTGAGGAGTAATGAGCAGCTATGTAAAGCGACCTTTATAGTCGGTGGTGTGCGAGGTGGAGGAGGGCGCGGGCGGCGCGGGCGCGGCGGCGGCGTTGTGGCGCACGCACAGGTACAGCGCGCTCAGGAGCGGCACGGCCAGCGCGTCCACCGTCTCCACCTGCACCGCCGACACGCAGATCAACGAGATGCGGCCGCGGGTCAACTCGCCTAGCGTCATGCCCGCGCTGGGAAACATCAACATGGGCAATGTACTATACATGTAGCAGGTCTATACGGTCCCACGCCCCAGCCGTCGCGAGAGGCACTCCATGCGTCGAGGATCACGAGACGATCTCCGGGCACCGTAAGCTGCCTACCGTAAGGGACCTGCGGACGGCGAGCATGGGTGACTCGCCGCCCGATCAGAACCGGCGTGTCGCGTTTGTCGCGCGCCTCAAGGAGCCATCAGACTACAATTTTTTTTTTTTTTTTAAGGGGGGAAAATCATCGAATGACTGCTCCCGCCTGGGTGAGGCGGAAGGGAG